CATCGATATCTGGGTGCATCGCTAAATAAAAAGAAAAAGAAATGAAACAAAAGAAGGGGGGGGGGAAGGGGAATGAGTGTCGTTCCGATGATGATCTCGCTAACAAAATTATACATGACCTACGGACGTAATAAGGAAAACACGTGAAGTGTTCCTCGTACTTAAAAAAATAATCTTAAATCAATGAGATAAATATTCTCATATGTAATGAAGAATATTATAACATTCTTAGATTATTAGTCTCGAATTGAGTCCAAAAACTTGTATCAATATACATTTAATCAAATCAAGATTAAGAGTCTTCTAAGAAGATTATAATATTCTTAATCATAAGTAAGAATATCTAATCTTGATTTAGGACTAATTTTTTTTTTCTATATCTTGTACAGTTTTCAAGTTTCGCTAGGAAATCGTTTTTGTTTCAATTTTTCCGTGAATCTCTTCGGTTTCTGTACTCCCAAGGGTACAAAATTTCGTTTAGAAAAATTCACGCGTGTTCAGTTAAGACCTATTACATTTACGTTTTTCCGTAAGAAAGGTAAAAGAAATCCAAGAGATCCGCAGAAAATTGCGGAGGAAACGTTTCTTCAGTTTTTCCGCGGAAGAAATCGCAAAAATCCGCGGGAAAGTGAGAAGAGATGATTCTTTTTAAACCATAGTTCCTTCGTCTACTCGGATAAGAATACTGTCGTATCGGTAGAATTGATCCGTACAGCGTCATAATTGGAATAAATCTTGGTGATGGCAGTATTATTGAAACTAATGCATTTATATATTGTTTCATTGACCGGAATATTAGTTCCAATATGTGACAATATTTGATTTCCGTGTAACAAGTTCTATGCTGAAGGTCTCTCTCGTAAGCTTCGCGAAACTTCGTATTCGGGACACTCGTGCAAATAGACTACGAACGAAGAGAGTGACTGCGCCTTTGATGTCTCTACGTGTTAGAACGTAACCGTTAGATTATAGGTGATCAATGGCACGCGAGCGCTGATTGGCGGCGCATGGTGATCTTTAAACGGCATGTCTGCCGCACGTCAGACGATCTGTGCGTACGCCGGCTTCAGTCTTACGTAATTTAATAATCGTGCATAGGTGGAGTGAGGACGCGATTCGCGGGATGTAGCTGAAAAATTTCGCTCGCACCGGCGTAAAGTAGCTCATCACCACCGGGGTCAGGCAAAATCCGATTAGGATCTATTACGACCGGCGGCCGACTTAGAAAGCCGACACCGATATCCGCGAGTTCTAACGTCGTGTAGTTGAGAAGTGACTTTCCGAACAATTTTCGCGAGTCATTTTCCCGACAATCAGGAGCTCTTTTCCAGAAAAACTCGTGCGGAATTTCGGAAAAAATTTCCCCGAAAACTCGACGGGGACTGAAGAATTTCACGAGAAGGCCCGAAAATCGTCTCTCATCGCCCGGTGTGTACACGACTTTAAATATACGCTGCTCATATATTCAGCAGGCGGCCCATTAACAACGGCAAGTCCTCCGACGAGGAAAGAAAGGAAACGATTTTTCGCGCTCAAGGATCCTCGCCGCTCAGTGCGAGAATCTTCAACGTACAGTCGCCTCGGAAGCGTATTTTTTTTCTTTCGATGCCGCGTGTAAACACACAAAGGAATAACAACGCGCGAAGCTGGTAAATAACAGCTGGCGCGTTACGTTTGATCGTGGACACACACGGTGAGAAGTAAATTACGACCTTAATGGAATCGCGCGCGATAATTAATCGGTCGCGAGCTTTTTCACCCATTTTTTTCCGAGCAGGATAATAAAATTAATCCACTTACTTCCCAGAAGACTTCACGAGCGAATTGTCGGGTCGCGGTCGGTGAGTTCGCGTGTGTTCGCCGCGCAGATGCGGTGTTTTCCGCGATCGGCGAGAAAAAATCGGAATGCAAGAAAAAGTCGTCAACAAGACGAGGAAATGTATCAACGATCGAGCTACTGATATAGAAATATAAAGATAGAGCGTAAGCTCGCGAGGAGGAAACCATTGCGGGAAGGATAACAAGGTGAGGTTTGACCAACTTTGATGTTATTCAACGTATATGTCGTATGTACGTGCCATGTTGTATATAAAGAGGATTATGATACAATTATCAAAGTAATTAGTTATCTTTGTGCTAATTAGTACAAGTGGCGATTAGTTATTTTTTACAATCAAGTTGCTTAAATTGAGATTGCTAAAATAACGAGATAACTACGAGAAAACTATAAGATACTTCTTGTAGTCAACGTGTTAACATGTAAATATATGTAACTCCCATAGCAAAAAAAGTTACGGTGACATCACAATGGGCTTACAATAGAGTCGCGAAGTCACGAGAAAATAGAGGTTACTATTACCATAAGATTGCAGTGATATCATTATTATTCTTGTTGCTCATTGACAGTACTTTGTCAGACCAAAACAAAACGGCACTGTACGAATGCTGAAAAAATCAATACAACGGTCTTACCTTGCTCATGGTTTCTCTTTATATTTGTAATTTTACCTCGCTCAATAAAATTTACCAAGTCGATATACGATCTTACTACTTTACATACACACGCACATATATATATTTTTACTCAGGCGCGCTCAGACACTTCGACATTGCTTGCTATATAATCTTTTTCAGCGAATTTTATCCGGCATATACATGAGACGTACACATGCTGCAGGTATACGTTGAATAACATCCAACGAAAGCTGGTGAAATTTTACCTCGTCGCCCCTCCGTCAGTAGCTTCACTTCCCCTGGTCTACATATTGAGTATATATATTTACGCTCTGTCTCTATATTACTACGTCTATAGATCGAGCAGATAAACGTGTTTTATTGACGACGGTCTGCGAAATTCACGGTGCAACACGTGCTTGCAAGCTGTGATTCCCAAGAAGGAGAGGCTCCGCGGGCGGTAGGGTCGTCGGAGCGCGTTTCTCACTCGTCTGGAGTCTCCGAAAGGACGATGCACCATGTCGGGGACCGGATGGTGCACGCGCGAGTCGCGCGGAATTTCGAGGATTCGTGCGGAGAGGAGAGAGAGAGACGGTTTTACGGTTGCTTGGCAACGAGGCCAGGCACCTAGCCAGACGAAGCAGCCAGCGGCAACCGGAGGCGCCTACCACGGGTCTGACGATCCGTTGAGGTCAGAGCCCCTCTCACAAAGAAGGGCCCCTCCCTTAGCGCCCTCGGTCCGTTTATACAGGGTGTCCCTCTCCAGACCGTCTACCGGCGGCGCGACCGTTCCCCGCAATTTGAAATTCGCTCAACGCGATCAGCTGATCGATCTCACGGGCGAACGGGATCGCACGCAGAAAAAAGAAACGTGCCAGATTCAAGCAGATAATTACTTCGATACTCCCTTAGCGAATTTTTGGATCAAATTAATATCTTACTTGAATCGAATAAATATTATTTAACCATTAAAAGTTCGCCTAAGGAATATTCGAGTTATTTACTTGAACTTAGCATCCTTTTCTCTGCGTAGAGTTCAATGATAATAATCAAAAAAACATTGCCAGTTGTGATTTTTTTTTTCCTCTAGGCTTGCTCGAGCGGGAAGTCCCCCACACGTAGCCACGATATCGCTCGGACAGTGTTTCGAAATTAAATCGTGGAATAACATGTTTTCGAGTCAGAGTAAATTCGAGCGAGTTGAAAATAATTGCAGGACCGTATGAAAGTTGTACGCGTAACGTCTTTTGGGGAACGGATGAAGTGCTTAAAAACACCGGAAAGAAAAAAAAAACCGGAAACAACGTAAACACGCTCAGCTGGCTGGAACTTATATTAGACGTGGCGATAAATAAATATCAATCATTTATCTTTACGATACTTTGCGCACCCGCTCGTGGAAAAAGCATCGCCCACGCGCCAACGTTTTCTTACCGTGTTAAAAAAAAAAAAAGGAGGAAGAGGAATGATCGGAGCCTAACACGTCGCGCTAATTCACGCGGAACGACGAACACAATTCAGAACGGTGGGTCCGAAGTGCCAAATTTAAGATTTTATTGCTGTAATCGAACGAACGCGCACGCACACACGTGCATACACGCACACGTTCCGAGGTGATGACAATAATCGAATCGCTCGTCAGGGCTGTCGACAAATGCGATATAAATGAATTCAAGTTGAATCAAGGTTCACTGACGTATCCTTCCGATGTTAAGAGACAACTTCTTCGCGGACGCCGCGGCTTTAATTTACAAATTGACTGATTAATAAAGAATACGAAGTGCGAAAAGTGGATAAAGCAATTTCGGAATACAAGGCTGAATATTGGCAGAAAGTAGCGGCTGCCACTTGTATTAATAAAAATGTCTCTAAAAGTGGTTTAGAAGCCGCATTTAAGCATATTTCAAGGCAAATTCGATAAAAGTGAGTTCAGAATATAGACTTTAATAACCGACCGCAACGTGAGGGATATATCTCGATTGGCAGTTCATCAGGAATAACGTCATTGGCGGCCTAATAAAGGTATCGTCTATTATTTATTAGCAGCGACACAAGCATCCGCTTTGTTCAAGTACGGAAGCTCGCAATCTCCATGCCGATCTCCTGGCCGGGATTTCGAACGCTCGCGAAATCGGCAACGTCACGTATTTTCTACTCTCGCCAGAGTGATTTTCCAAAGTACGTCAGTGCATCTAGTTTTTGCCATGCCGCTTACTTTCGTCATCAGACGACCTATGACCGACTTGCGACACCAAATAATAGCTAACAGTAGCGGCAGATCTCTCGGCGAGGCCGCGCGCGCACGCCAAGTCCCAGTTTCGTTACATTCCGTCGATTTACGACCGAACGGGGGAAAAAAGTTTACAGCAACGCGCGCGACCGTCGGACAATTTCGAAATAATGTTTCGCAAAATCTCAGCCTCGAAACGGCGATAATTCAGCCGGCGACAGGACGCGGTTTCCTTCCACGGCGTGTCTCACAACCGCGCGGATCTCGGCCCGATCGATCGAGCGACCCGGTAGATTAAAATAAAAAAACGACTCACCCATATGAGCGAGGTCGATGATCGGGATCTCGCACTTGCTCAGGAGAGTCTCGCAGGTCTGCGTGACGATGGGCGCGCTGGTGCAGCAGCTCATTTTGCCTCGGAGATGGAGTCCCCTTGAAAATCTGATTATTAGTTGATCCACGCACCGGAAATCTGTTTTGCACCGGCTTGCTGTTTCTCCTTCTCTCTCTCTCTGTCTGCGACGTCGCTCGTGCGAACCGCTCTCGACTTTCTCTCCTTTCCTCTTTCTATCTCTCTTCTATCGCCGAACACGGCAGTCGGGGATAGCGAGAGTGGAAAAAAAATCTGCCACCTTACACTTCACGCGTGAACGGCTCAGCCACCCGGTATAGGCGCTCGTGAGACTCACTGGAATATCCAAGAGAATATCATACTATATGCACTGCTACGAGAATACACGAATCACTGCTGCGAGAGGACCGACCGACTGCGATTTTCAACGGAAGCACGAATATGTCACATGCGAAAGCGAGAGCCGCGAAATATGGCCGACTAGCGGTAGCCGTAAGAGACGAGTTTATTGTGTGGCTGGTGATGCGGCAAGCAGTAGACGTGGCTGTGAACTGGTGGGCACATGCTATGACGATGGAATGGCGGTAGAGAGTAATCGCCGAGTAATGACGGTACAACGTGAAACTTCCCGACCGTATCGACACGCGGCTGCTCGCAGACTAGAGGCGGCGTTCGCGCGTCGAGGCCGGCACGCCGCGCGCTGCCGAGCGCACCCGACCGCTCCCGAGCGTTCCCGAGCGCGGCCGAACGCTTCGCGAGAGATCCGAGCGCCGCGCCGACGTCGCGCCGAATCAGCGGCGTGATGCGCGGAAAATCTACACACTGGCGGCCGGATTATCCGCGTTCTTTGTTTGCTTCTTCAGAGCACGTCTGGCACGAAAGTCGGCTTTACATCGAAACAATGAAATTTGGTTATTACATTTGCAACGGAGACCACCGACGTGAGACTATTGCGTGCGACGCGCAATTACCAGGGAGAGCTGAGAGAGTCGCGCGGTGAACGGGAACAGTAGGGCGGCCCACGTCGTCGAGGCGTGCGTTGTTATTTATCACGTTGTTGTCATGCTTATTATTTATTATTGCACGTCATTGTCGCGTTTATACTGATGCTTATATTGATCGGCGAGTTAATAGAGAAGGCGGTATTGTGGTCACATTTAATATCTTTTCTATCGGGTGACTTGTTGAGTATATTACTTGTGGAATTATTTGTTTAATAGCACGCCGTTACATAATGACGTTAACACGCCGATACATAATAACGTTAACACGCCGTTACATAATGACGTTAACACGCCGATACACAATAGCCAACACTTGTTAGAGCGTCCACTTTTATTCTCGAGCGTTTCGAAACGTTTTTAAAGCTACATTTTAGCACTCAATCGCACACATACTTCCTCATTCTTCTTATCATTGTATCCGTTGTTGTTCCTTCCAAGAGTTTATTTTGAATAAATTTATAACAAAGCACACGTGTTCTTTTGAACAAAATAAATTTTTCTAATCTATCTTAGTGCAGGGCCACATTACTACCTCTGTTCCTCTTTGACCCATAATGTAGTGTTGCAACTATTTTTATAAATAACGTTCTAAGTAATAAGTATTTTGTAACTTTGGGAATCGACAGAAGAATGTTTCGAAAAATATAATCGTTGAGCTCTCGATTTAAAACATTGATTATTAACAAAGTTACCGTACAAAATGTAAATGAGGAGGCCGTAATACCACTTTCTGCTCTCTATATATTTTTTCATGGCTTTACGTTTGATTCTAGCTCTGTTACTGATCGATATGAAAACGATCCGCATTCACACACATATATATTAGCGATTCTTTACTTTGAGATGTAATCTATATCTATTCAAACCGATATACTCGCGTTTCTTTCCTTTTCTACCTTTCCCACGTTCCTACCTTTCCCTTTTCCTCCGTCTCTCTAACCGCAGGGAGAGGATGATTCGTGCAAAATCAACATAAAGACGATCCGTCGACATGTGTTTGTTTCTTCAAAGTACACGCGGTACGTAAGCCCGTGCTGTTTGACGAAACAATGACGCCTTGTCTCTGTAAATCTGATATCTATTCGTTATCAAAACTTTCGAGACTGTCACATTAAACCTGGCTTCTGTGAATCACTCGAAATATGTGCACAAATATATACATAAAACACCGCCTGTACTTTGTATCATTTTTCAACTCCATTATTTTAAATACGGTCCCGCAATTTTCGTATGAAAATCTCCCTTTGATCTGTACATGATTCCCTCCCCCCCCCCCCNTCTCTATCGCTCATATATATACCAAGTTAATTTGAAAATTAATGTCATCTAAATCACGCCAGACGCGGTTTTATCCTCTCGTTGTTGGCCTGCCGGAGCCACAAACCTCGTTTGGAATAACGTCTTTTCGGCCGCGACCGTATTTTCAGCTTGCGAAAGCGCCGATGAAATGCAACAAGAAGAGCAAGTTCGGCCGCGGGACGTCACCAGTTCTATTACAGTCGCCGGTCCACAGAAGAAGCACAGTAAGAAGCACGCGAGATTAACGCGTATCAAATACCAGGCTCGACTCTCATTCGCAACCGTCCACCGTAAACTCGCCTGCGCGGTCTCGAAAATTACAACTCGATCGTCAAACCATTGATATATTATTTGATCATCTGAACGCAACGAAAGAATAATTTCGACGACTGAACCTTCCGGGAAATGCCGGAATCGAAAGCGCGTAATCGCGCCGGTCGGTTGCTCAAAATCAACAAGTCGGTCCCCGACATAGTTCGTTATTTATTCGTTATCAAAACCGTTGGTTGGTGGTTTAATCAGGCGGTTACTCGTTTCGCAAGCAGGCGTTTCGTTATTAAGTCGAGGCTGATGAGCGACGAATGTGCCGATTGCAAATACTTACATCACGATAACACTCATGACGAGTCACCGTCGTTCGCACGATGTTTTGAACCGCACTGAGCTCACGTGTGCTGATCTTGAGTTTCAGATAGGAAATTTAACTACTTACCCCCACCCCGGGGTCACCGTCTGTCCACACTGCGTCACGACTTATCTCTAATAGCAGGTAATTAGCATTTTGTCACCGATAGTTCGCAGTTGCCCGAAAGAACCGTTGTTTTAATCACTCCGAAGATCTGCAGATAATTAGCACAAAAAAGGCTTCAACGCAGGTGCATGCTGCGAAGGCGTTTCACGGATATTCTGTGTTCCTCGTGAACGCTCGGCTTAATCCTCGCGATCTCCCAGGTATTACTGCGCGAAACACCGTCTCGTTACGTTTATTTTACGGCACTTCATCTATCAATCGAGACAGCCCGGAGTCACGTGAATTTTTCAGTCAATTCGCGTCGATCCGACGGTTGGAATTAATTCCAGCGGGAACACTTGCGCAAGATTATATTCTTCTGGCGACGGCAACTACGCGACGAATAAATCCACACGACGGGTGACTCTCGATTGAAAAGTAAGTATTAATAATTCGCTATTATTTTCACGTTTAAAGGAGCTTCGTTCTCTTACCCTCGATTCAAAATAGGACAACTGCATGTCGCCGCGGGCGACGTAGCTTTCTGGTTTTCCTTGATGCAGACGTCGTCGTTCGACGATGGACGGGCGTTCGGTCTCCTGTACCAGGCGGATTTCTTCACCGAGGAAAATCGCGGCACGTAAGTCCTTGGGAGTGTGTTTATAATGGTGAACGGCGCGGCGGAACGTCTCGCGCGAGAAATGGACGATCGAAGAGGCAGGGATTTGCCGATCGTCTGCGAAGAAACGAAAAGTCAAGCCCGAGATTGATAGGCACGAGCGCCCGATGTTATTCATTTCTTATGACAAAATGTCAAACGAGCCCCTCCGCTCGGAGGATTAACGACGGACGCTAATTACGATGATCATGAAGATAACTTGCGCGCCTCAATGGGGCCCAGTGGCGCGTCCTTTTGAACTAGATTAAGCAAAACAACATACTCTGGCGATTAAGAAGGCTAATAGCACTTGAGCGACGATTAAAGTGCCAGTCATGACGTAAGCGATTATGACAACCCTAAGAACAATGGGGCTGATGACTTCCGCGCAGCCGTGCACGTTGATCGTTTCGTCATTCGTCATCTCCGCGTGCGTACACGGCCCCATCGCGCGCAGACTACAGCAGCTGAAGGGTACACCGCGATCCCCGTAGTCCTCGTCCGAGATTCCGTCTTGCCCCGCCATCTCCTCGCCGTAATCCATCTTCTTGCGAAATGCAGAGGCAGAAAGAGAAAGAATTACCAGAAAAATTACGTACGATTGGGTCAACTTAATTATACGCATCCTCTCTGTCGATTTATCGTCGGATTAATCGTCGTCTGAAATATCGTTGAGCGGTCGTACGAATCACGAATTGTTAATTAATAATCAGGACGGGAATCCTTCGAATATTACTTACGAAAGCGACGGAAATTATAGGAATTTACGCGCTGAGCGGGGGAGACAAATTTATGACTCTCTCTAATTCACGGTTAGAGATGCTGATCTTTTGAAATTTTTAATCGTTTGCGTCGCATATCGAATAATGCGCCAATTCATTTTCGCACGTATTTTCACTGTGTGGAAGCATTTATAATTCTAATTGTGGGGAAACCATGCGTTAAGGGGTTAAATTTACATGACACGGATGACGTTACCCGAATTGCATGAAACCTGCGGTCGAAGACTATCCGATAAATCGCACCGACACAAAGCCCGTCGTTGTTTTTTTCCGCGGGAACCGGGCGCTTTCGGTGAAATCCGCGATCGAAGCGTCGTCGGGAGCTTACCTGCCAATCGAAGCGGAACCAGTCGGCGTAAGAGGTGTGACCGCAGCACTGCAGCGTAAATTGAATCTCGTCGATGGCGTATTTGTAGGACGCCGCACTGACGTACAGTCGCATGGAGGCGTTGAAGACGCCGGCCAACGTCTCCCGCTTCACACTGATGTGACACCCTGTCGAAGCCAAGGTCGCGGTGTTCATAGCGGCGCACACGACCACCGCCACCAGGAGATACCGCAGCACTCGCTTAGTTCTTAGCGCGTGGTTCTTCGGGCGCAAATTCGGCCCGCCTCTGCGAAAGACACGTTGCCAGGCACGTTGTATTCAATTCGAGGAACTCGACGTAATCATTAGGAATAAATAATACCAAGTGCACATAGAGGAAGATTCCTTCGAATTTAGTATAGGTGTTTGCTTGACTCGGGTTTGTATGTTTAATAAACAATATAATTTACTACCTAATATCATTTCGTTCGAGTGAAAACGTTGTCTCATCAGAATAAATCATGCTGTTTGATAGAAAAAAAAAAAACATTATTTAGAGCAAATAAATACTTGGTTTTTAATAAAAAAATAATTTCGGTTTCGTTATACATTAAACATTGTTTCACTGAAACAAAGAGATTCCTTAATATGTTTCTCAAAATAAAACAGTCAATAATTTTGAAGTATTTGTAAAATGTATCTGTATTAATCCTCAATATTACAGTAGTTTTCATGAAAGTTTCAAAATATAGCTTGGATGAAATTGAAAATAGGACATTAATTTTAAGGAATACGTACGAGAGGTCATCTTTAATTGCAAATACCTCAGCTCCCAAGGTCTTAATTCTTTCAAATAATCTATCACTTGTGACCATTGTAACGTTTGGATGAAGATATACGAGAGACATTATATATTCATTGTTTGAGAAATCAAACAATGAAACATCTGTTTGTCTGCTGCATTCCGAAAGACAAATTTGTTTCAATAAAAGAAATTTTATCCGATCCGAAGGAATCTTTTTCTCTGTGTAATTAACTGACAATCGATTCTGTGCACAAATGATTCATAAACGTTAACTGATTCGAACGTAACACGAAGTAGACGCTATCGCTTCGCCCTCTAACTCGAGTTGTCACGAGGTTCGCTTATTTACCCGCCACCGGATAGATGTAATTGCATTTACCTGCGTATAGTGCGCACGGTTATAAGCGCGCACGGTAATCCCAGAGCCACGTCCGCCAAGGTGAGAACGAACGGCTGGAAACCACCTGCAAAACGGATCACCTGCCACTCCGCGAACATTTCCAGGGCGAACACGAGGAAACGTTTGGCCTCGAAGACGGCCAGCGTGTAAGCCACGCCGTAACCGAGCTTTATCTCCCATCCGCAGGTACACCTCCTGCCGGATCTTCCGCGGAGGATCGGCTTCTCTTCCGGCATGCGACAGCCGCACGACACCTATTCGATTCGCGTGCGACTTTTGTCTGTCGCTCTATCGCGAACAACGACGCGGTCGGCTCACCGATCCTGAAAATCGCGATTGACCGATCGATTTGGCGGGACTAGAATTAAGGTAGTTGCAGCATAAAATGAGTCATTCAAAAATTCGCTCGGAACTTGCGCTATGTGTAAATTTAAATGTGACCTAACTATCGGAATGAATAGAAAATGACTGAACATTTGGGAGCTGAGGTATTTGCAATTAAAGATGACCTCTCGTACGTATTCCTTAAAGTTAATGTCCTATTTTCATATTCGGATAGTTAAATAAAAGTATAAGTATTGTTCTTAAGTAAATAATAAACATACAGGAGCCGCTTAAGTTCGACACTCTGCGATACAATTACCTTAATGTGGAAGGTTTCTGGAAAAAAAAAAGAAAAGCATAGTTTGACGAGACTGCCCAGAAAACTAACGATGCTCAGGACGGCTTAAAACACTCCTCGGGGCATTCTGGACACACTCTAGATGAGTTTGGGACATCCTTGAGTCTGCTATTTAGTTGGATACTCGCGTATACACGTAAGAAATGAAAATTGCTTGTACCGACGATTTTCCGCGCTCAGCATGTGACCTGGTTTCACGATTGCAGTCCTCGTTATTTAACAACAACCTTGTGCATAATACCATGTCGCAATGTCGGATTGTTGTCGATAAACCGCGGTTGCTTTATGCGCCGTCTGTTAGTCATCGTCCAAGTGTATACCGGAAGAGGTATGCAAGGAGAAAAAAATTGTTTTGACGAGGTACAATTAGACGTGCCGGGACTGCAATTGACGTGGCGTGCAAATAGGTCACGTTCGCACGTATTCTTCGCATACGTCCTACAACGGCCGATGTCGAGCGAAAGTCGCGCGAAATATACCATTTTTATATCGCCGTTTTCAAATAACAGCACACGTATTGGCCCGTCGTACACCCACGTTCGTGATCAATTTCACCGATTCCTCGCGATTCTGATTAATCGAGGATTAATCGAGGATTAATCGAGGAATTATCTATACATAATCGTCGTTCGATTCAAACTCAGAAACGACAATGCGAACGATGGAAATTAACCTGGCGACTCGGAGAGTGCTACTCTTCCACTAATAATGTCGACATCGTCGAGAATTATTGTTATCACGTTACGTCACTCTGTCAGAGCAGGTACGTTTTATTAAGCGCAAGAGATATAACGCGTCAACAGCCGTGCGTACGCGAACTCGGGGTCTTATTTATAATACCTTGCTTAATAGTGCGCAACGTAATATTCGCCTCTAGAACGTTTGGCGTTAGATAACATCAGCCGCGCGATTGAGAGAGTCAAGATCAAACTTGGTACCGTCAAAGGAAGCCCGACCTTCTACGTGGCGCGAACGCGAAGAACACTTACCGGCTGCCATCGTGCTGCTAAAACGGGACGATATCCCGAATTTTGGGAAGAAATTTATGGTTATGGTTGCGTGAAATATGATATGTGCATACACACAACGCGAAGTTCGCCGAAGTTCGCCGAGAGTCATGATCGATTGGTCAGGCCGATGTCGATGGACGATATCGACTGATCGAATTCGAGACCTCGAGATATTTATCGTGGTGCAATAAAACGTTATCCAACTCACGTTGTAAATAATTAAGGCCTGCGCGAATTTATTTCGCCGCAAGTACGTAGAATTGTGATGCCAAAAGCTCGATTATAAAGTCGATTATTAAGAGATTACGAAGCGCTCTCATAGTTTCGCGATGATCGATCTCGTACTAACGATTGTTCCGCCGTGGAATGTACTAATGAGCGAGCGTGAAGATTTTACGCTTGACGAAATGCACTTTTCTGCGTCTCTTTCTTAATCAATCATTGAGCAGTCTTACGAACTACATCGACAAACCCAACGATCAATCGTTTCACTGTGAATGATTCCTGGCCACCTCTCTCAACTAGTGTTAATACACATAATATACACGGACGGCCTCGCGCGTCTCTGATCAAACGTTTTCGGATAAAAAGTTTTAGATGTACACCAGTGACTTTCATATGTTTACGCTATATTGTTTATACTGGGAAGCTATTGTTGCGACTAAAGCCGTATGTAGAGACTCGCCGTCGAGCGCCGAAAGAACGTCCGGACTCGCGTCTTTCTCGCAAGCGACTTACAAGTGCGAGTCGGGTTGCGAGTCGCCAGGCACTCATTTCTCGCGCGAACGACTTCACTCGCGCCGGATTAACATATACCGACGTCTCCGAGGCACCAGTGCCTTCGCTTGTCACTAATGTCCTGGCTAAAAAAAGACAGGGACGGCGAGGGAGATCGGGAACCAGAGGGATGCTTTGTATTCATCGTTCTTCTGCTTCTGAGTCTGCGGTTTTTTATTAGCCTTGGTGCGCCCTGTGCGTTCCTTCGGTCCGAGTGCCGATTTCTCATCTGCGAAACGCACAACAGGATTTCCGTTACTCCGAGCGTTGCTTGATTGAAAACAGAATAAAGAAGGTTGATATCAAATAAAAACACATGTACGGTAACGATGGCAAATAAGAACCTAAGCACAGCACTTGTAGTGCTATATGAACAAATTAAAAGTTCGCATTGAATTTGTATTGAATGATTATTTTAATTTAGTCATATATCAGTACGAGTATTGTGTTTGGGCTCCTATTGATACTTTCTCCCCTTGCTATATGTGCTTTTTGATTAGCTGTTATTTTATTATTATAATTTATTATTGTACAGTAACCAAACACACACACACACACACACACACACACACAAAATTATCTATAATTTATACATATATGTGCGTATATGTTTAGAAATATGTATAAAATTGATAATAGGAGGCCGCTCTATTGTGTTATCGTCGTCCGAAGCTTCGACGAGGTACAATTAGACGTACTGAGACTGTAATTGACGTGACGTACAAACAAATCACGTTCGCGCGTGTTTTTCGCGTATGTCGTACTGGTGTTGAACGAAAGTCACGCGAAATAACATTTTTAAATATCGCACGTAATGATCAAAATATTCACATTTCTGATTTCGATCCTATCGATTCGTTGCAATTGTGATAAATCGAGAATAATCTAATGACGTCCAGTTTAAACCTGAAAAATATTCTCTCTTAATGTGTCGACATCGTCTCAATTATGATTATTACGTTGGACGTCAGTCACTCGGTAGAAATGACGACAGCCAGCAGTATGGTTGTTGTGCTGTTATATTGTGAGCGCAAGACAAATAACGTGTTAACAATCGTGTATACGCAAACTCGCGATTATTTATAATATCTTTCTTAATAGTGCGCGACGTAATACTCTTCTCTAGAATGTTGGGCGTTAGATAATATATTTGATGCACGATTGAAAAAGTCAAGATCAAGATTGGTACCATCAAAGGAAGCTCGACCTTCTACGTGGCGCGAACGCGAAAAACATTTACCGGCTGCCGTCGTGCGTTAAAACGGGACGGTATCCCGAATCTTGACAAGAAATTTATAATTACGGTTACATGAAATATAAAATATACGTATGTGTATCATATATACATACACATATATATATATATATATATATATATATATGTCGTGATGTCGAAAGTCCAAACTCGATTGTTAAGAGTACAAAATGCTTTCATAGCTTTATAATAAACGATCTCGTACGAACAATATTGTTTTGTTCTGGAATACCCTGTATAATAAGCGAGCGTAAAGATTTTACATTTAACGAAATGCACTTTTATACATCTTCCTTTATAATTCATAGTAATATTTAGTAGTCTTATGAATTGTATCAACAAATTCAGCGATAACAATGTAACGTATAATACAAATGATTCGTTAATGTAAAACTAAAAGATATATTTGAATATTTTGGAAATATTCGAACAATTATATTACAACTAACAATTGAGTATAATGTCGCCTTAAATAGTTTTCTTTTCTTCAGATACTGCAAATACGTATTGAAAGGTCAAATCTAATTGTGCCCTAATAACCTTTATCATTTCATTGTTACGTCTATTACATGTATTACAATAATCTTTTAATAAGATGGTATTCTCATTCGAGAGATCCAAGAAATACTCAATGAGAAATAAATTCTTTTTTCAAAGATTGTCATTTCGTCAAATTCGATTTTTTAAATTTAGTTCTAGTTCCAATAACCACACTTTTCTTGAATAAGAAGTTTTAATTATTTGTTTCCGATGTCAGGGAGAGCGACTATTTATCCCATCGTCCCAATGCATCTTTTTTGCAGATTTTTAGTGACCAGCGTATAACGGGAGAAAAAGCAGTATTTTTAACATTTAAAAAATGTTACAATATTATTACTATAGTAATTATTAATATATTAATATAATAATAAATAATACAAAGGGGTGTACAAAGTTTGACATTAGTTGGTCTTTATGTCTTTATGTTTTTCTATAAAAAAATCTCGAAAAAAAACTTTTTTACGATCTTTCTGATAAGAATACCCTCTTAATAATCAAAACTTATCATATATGTACGTCATTGAGTATTTCTTCCATTCATTAACTTGTATGAAACAGCGTAATGATACATCAGTTAACGTAAATGAACATACTATTGCTAATGAACGTGTTATTTTACGTTTTCTGTCTTTTTGCGTATATCTATGACATCCTGTGATACGTATACAAGAATGAGTTGATTACATATAATCGACTCATAATTTCGCATTCTGCTTTGATTCAGCGTCGCAATTTTAATGTCCTGAAACCTTCACTTTTCTCACCTCAATTAACCGTTCGATCGAAACGATAACGAAAAATATCGATTTTAGCGTACTTCTCACCATATCTCCGAATAGCAAAGTAGGGATATTTCTCCAGCAAAAAGAGCGAGAGTCGCATCAGACTATTGTACATCGCGCGGAAAAACGAAGACCACCAAGCAGTAGGTCGCAACAGGTACTTCAGTACAAAGCACTGCATATGGAACAAATACCAACTGAAAAACGGCATGTTCGAGGTATCTGCAAACAATATATCGTCGTTACTCAAAGTATACGATATACGGAATAAAACCCAAAATATCGCATCTCCCATAAATACTTATTCGGATTCGTTATTTCCTACATTCAGAATCAAAAGCATTTACTTGTTGATCGCAAAAATCGGATAAACAAATATACAAAGCGATTGAAAAGATATATTTGTATTTTCTACTATGTTAATTTTTCCCTAAGCCCGATGAAACGTCTGTTCGTTACGAAAAATTCCGAGAAAGCGTTACCGATTACAATGGAGTGATTGTTGTTGGTCGCAGATTGAGAGGCCAGTTGATACGTGAACGTGATGAACGCTTGCGAATCGATGGCGAAATTGATAGTCCAGAGGCTCTCCAGCATCACCTGACCCATCGAGTCGAAGTGTTCGTTTTTCTTTGTCAGAGCTGGTAGGAATACCTCGTCCAATATCCTTTGGCAAAGAGCGCGCGCTTCCTCGGCTGTTCCCGAGCAAAGATTGAATCTGGAAGAGTATATATTTGCAAATCGCACAAACTCATGAATTGTGCAACAATGTGCTGCGTGTCGTCGTATAACAATGAATCAGGATGTTTCCTTTCTCTCTTTCCTATTAGAATCGTAAGATCGCTATGCGAGTTCTCAGAAAAATTTTAAATATTATCTCCAATATTATTACTATTATATATATAACTTTATGCACAATATTCACGTTTATCATGTAATCCATGTATCAACTGACGTATCGCGATGTGTTCATAATAATTGATAAGATATCGAAAAATAAGAAGCAAAATTCTACGATGTGCAATCGTCATGCAACAAAGTACAAAAGAAGGAAATAGAGATTACGAACTCCTCCTTCATCCCGAGCATGCTCCCGATGACCCTCCAGACGTGAACCAAGCCCTCCATTTCCTCACGAGTGGTCTGGATGCCCAGTTTCTCGCTGCTGACCATAATATACCCGATGAATCCGAACTGAGCGAGCGACATATCCAGTTGCGTTGGTCGATGTAAACCAGCCTCGGTGCCTCTTCTGAATGCGATACAATGCTTCTTCCGTACGATCTTCAAAGACTCCACAAATCTACAACGAGAGGTAAAACTAAATGTGAGTCATCAGTAACTCGGTACAAAATGCAACAATGGAGGTGAAGATCAGTAGAAATATTCCAAACGTAACCTATTCTCTATCAGCTATCTTTCTTTCTTTCTGGTACTCGTAATAAGATTTTATATTTAAAACTATCTTAAATACATATTTGGACGCTGTATCACTCATTTCACTGGCTACGAAACATTTGAAGATGAACTTAAGACCGTTTTAAATATACGATTTGCCTATAAATACCGATCTTAAATTAGCTATTTAAATTAATGAATAATTCATTATCGTTTCAAAGATACCGCCGGCAATGCAACTGTAATAGAAATTGCATCATATTTACTGCCTAAAATTTTACTTACTCCTCAGATTTTATAGGATCTTTTTCGAGCCAGACGAGCGTGTGGAGGATCGTCATCGCGTACCTGCGATAAGCCAAGCAAGGAATACCGCTTTGTTTGGTGAACATAACTATATCCAATATGCTTCTAACAGATAAGAGAGACACCAGGCCGGACAGTTTCGCAATCATCATCGAGAACACATTGTTATAGAAAGCTCGTTGGCCGAGCTGAAATTTTCTCTCGTCATAATATAGTGGTAATTCCGGTTTCACCCATTCGAAATCCATTGGAATCTTTGGACCTTCCTCCAAGATCACTCGCATACGTTTTTCCACCACATCTGTAAATGCATCGAATTATATGTTTATACGTTAATCAAATTTTTTCCAACGATTCAGCAAGAATGTAATAGTGAATTGTAATAATTCGCTAAATAATTTCCTGATATTACGTTTTTATTTTTTTAATTTTATACTATAATATAATGTAATATTATTATATTGTGATAGTATTATTATATTGCGATAGTTTGTATATTTCTTTAGAAATTTCTTTAATGCGTTCTCCGTTGAAACTGACGAAAATTTCACGGTGGCGCATCGCACGTTGCAAGTTGCTTATTATTTTGTCGCAAAATAAACGAAATCACTAATATCTCGACTTTCAAAGTTTTCCTCGGCTCCTCAAGATTACTTTACATTCACACGATGGTACCTATTACATAGAATAATCGGGAAGTTCCCGTGTCGCGTTCGGCCGGAACAAAGGACGCGCATAACAATGTAGCGTGGGTGATCGTACGAGTCGATCGGACGTGTACTACGTGTCGCATGTAAAAACGTCAGAAGCGACGTTAACATCTGTATCTACAGCGCACGTGAGAAAAATTCGGCAAACGGGAGCTCGGAAGTCCCAACGACGACCTGACACGATACACGTACTGATTACGTATGACCGAACACCATTGCTCGTTTACAGCGATCGAGAATACCACGATGCGCTCACGTAATAAGTTCACAATTTCGATCGCCTCTCGCATGTTAATTATTAATGTTGCTCATCACGTATATAATAATTATCGTGTATGTAAAAGTATTATATACCACGTTTCCTTTTATTTTTACCGGTATGACTATTCCATCTTCGTTGAGATTGCGATAAATAACGATGGCATACGAATTTTCTACAGGTTTAAAGATCGGGCCGATTTTGCATCCGTTATGTCATGCGTTACGCCTGGCAAATATTTGACGATGAAACGACTCGATAACTGCTTTCGCTATATGTGTGACCCAACGCACATAAAGAATTCGCGCGAGATTTCAACACAGGGAGCTGTGGCAACCGCAGGTCGTATATGTAGCGGAGAGGATTGGAATCGCGTGCAGCACGTATAAAATGTATTAACCAAATTAAATTTTTAATTTATTGTATTTCATTTACTTCATCAAATTTACGTCAAGTAAAACATCTGAATCTAAACTTCTGGCCACAACGAAATTTAATATTGCACTCGAAAGTTTCACATTTGGAAGCAATTGGAAGAAAACTGCACTCTCATAGAATCCGTAATTTAAAACTATCACGATTTAAGCGCGAGTAACTCGTTCACTTTTTATATAACTTTTAACCCAAAAGTTAATTTCGTTTATTGCGTAACCCATAATTTTTAACCCAAAAGTTAATTTCGTTTATTGCAGTTTTAATAAGATATATACTGGAACTATAAAATTTGCATATCAAATTAGGAAATTAATTCAGTATTTATTCGGTTTATTCAGTTATTACTCGGAAATTAATGCTTTCCGATTCAATTAGCAAAGAATTATATATTCTAATTCAAATTTAATAAGAAAGCGCATAAGTAATAACGTAATAGTTATGAAAACTTGTGAAGCAACGAGAAATATAGGTGAATGTAAGTCGAGGTCACTCTACTCCAACACTTTCATTGAGCGTTGCGTGTTAGCGCGCGATGCGAATGAAAAAGTAAAGTTTTTCTAGGTTTTTCTTTTGCTACTTTCAGTCGTCTAATACTCACCTTGAAAAATCGATAAATAAGCGAACATATATATTAAATATATATTAAACCATATATATTTTTCGTAAATCCTTTAACTATCGTTTACTTTTCTTCGTAATAAACAAATATTTCGCAAAGTCGAGTAAGATCTGACCTGAAATGATTTCGAAATCGCCCTAACTACTTCGAATATAACAATATCTTTCTATAAATTTGAATCTGAACATAATTAACTCAAACCGTCTGTGAATAATTGAGAAAAACAATATATTGGAAATTCTTTATTATCGCGTGGAAACATATTGTCGAAATTTAAACGATTATATATAATGTGTATGTAAAATATATATGAAATATATCTCGTATCTTTACTCTTAAAGAGAAGTCCTATTCCTGAGTTATATAATGTTTCACTCATCGGGATGTATAAATAGAAACGTACTAACATGACGGAATATTAACAGGTCTCTCTCTCAATGGTTTCAACTGGGCCTGACACGAGAACACGATGTAAACCTTTTTCTTCCTTCTTTTGAAATCTTTTTATTTTCAAATATTCCGAAACATAAATACTAAATGAGCACGAACGTGACATAGTAGATGGCACACAAGTCTGCTTATACCAGAAGTCCCGGGTTCATTTTCCCGACAAAACCAAAATATTTTCACACACTCCTGTCTCTTCTCCGATGGTCTGGCAAGCTATTGAAGAGTATCTTTGTCACGAAAACCTCAACTGCCGTTCGGAATCGGCGTTAAATTGTAGGTCCTATATACTTGTGTATAATTTGCATAAACACATCACAAGCATATGCGAGAAAAAGGTAGGCCCAAGCCCTACAAAACTGTAGCGCCAAGGACGATAATAAATATTAAATACTCCTACATCATTTTCTCTATTTCAATCTGTAAATATCACAGAATTTAATCATTCAAATAGTCACGCTGGACAGCACAACGCATTGCTTTTATTGTTTCTTTTGACGATGTTTCATTCAACTGAAATATGAATATAATCCTATATAACAATTAGTTTTAACAGCTTGCGCTAAATAGCATTATGTTACATAGAAGCAATTTTGCGGAGATCATTAGGATTATTGCCAGTATCTCTCTCTTACCTAGCATTAATATCAGAAATAACTTTTTGTTCTTTATTTATATTATTTATAATATGTATTAACTTTAAATATATTAGTTTAAGTACAATTCTGTCTGAAATTCTGATAAGAAGAATGTTATAATTAAGAATTAAAAAAATTAATTATTATTAAAAAATGATATTGCAAAAAACAAGGCCAATAGTTGTAATTGTTAATTTTTTTAATTTACCGATCACTTTAGGTACTGCTAAAAAAAAGATTATAAATATCTTCAAATATTAATAAAAAAATTGTATAATAATATATTCGACATATAATATATTCACGTGAAAGAAGCACTACCGAAATTTATTCTCGAGAGTTGTCCTTAAAATGTACATATTATTGGAAAAACTGAAAAATTCCCAAAGGCTAAGTTTCTATTTGAACGAAATAACACTCATAAAACCTAATCATGACGAGTTAAACCAAAATGATTTTCCGCACGGATGATTTAAAAGGAATTTGTCCGACAAGTATTATCGCTTGATTTGAGAAATGCACTTATTAGATGCTTACAAAAAGTCGCAAATAAATCGATTACCTCCAAAGATAAGTTTTTTATCAGTCCAGGATCAAGTTTTTGCCCGAAGGACAAAGCAAGGACAGCAAAAGGTTATTAATAGCAATGGCCAATACTTTAATTAAAATATTATATGTCGTCTCATTGTTATTAATAAATAAAAATGGTCTTAATATCGCACAAATTTTTGCGAACTAATAATACACAAAACAACTTACTATTCAAGCCGACGTTGTTCGTTAATTTCTCGGCCATCCTCGCTGTGGTGGTTATAGAGTAGAAAAGGTATGATGCCGGTCCGTCCAATTACGAGCGCAATAGTTCGATTGAGACAAGTGCACCGGCGAGACGCTCTCGTTATTATTTCTTGCGAAATCCCAAATGGAATCTCCTCGCAACTCGAGAAGTGCCTCCTCCTCAGCTCTCCATCATACTGAACATACAGTCTTGCAGCAAAGGAGCAGTCGGTTTCCAGAGCGTCTTCTGGAGAAAGGGGGCCCCTATCCGCATCCATTACCTTTCTCTCCCTTCCAGTACTCCTGCAGCTACTATACGTACAAATAAGTACAGGCGATTCCTGCCGCCGTATGCAGGTGGATCTTCAACACGACGAACTCGGCCGATTCCTCGTGGACGATGAAAGAGACGTGTTGCTATTCTCTTTCTCTCTTTCTCCCTCTATTTTTTTTAATTTCTAAAATTATTAATTTTTCTATTTTCGCCGTTCAAATTCATATGACGTAGCACTTACAATATATTATTTCTTTTTATATTCAGTACTTTCATTTTAAGCCACCATTCGCATCATTACAGACAATTACACTATATGTATATTTTTTTGCGATTACACTTACGTTGCTCCTTGTAACACGTAACTTTACATGCTGTTTGCAACAATTCACGAAATTCGCAAATTACGAAGATCGGCATCTCTCTCATTCTCTATCCGCAGCAACACAAATCCAATACTCGCGGACGTGTCAAAAGTTAAGATTAAAGGTTCAATTATTCCCTTTCATAAGCGGGGTCTACAATGATAATCGAAGGCGTAAGACTTAAGAAACTGGCCAATCACAGATTATTCTCTTTATATTCAACTGATAGGTTAATTTCTTAGGGCTTAAATTCCCATTATAGACTCCGCTTTGCATCGTACCTCGCGAGTGCGAGAGGGAAGAGACGGTCTAATTTGTTGGAATTTCGCCACTTCCCGATCATTTACATTAGCATTGTTGTTACGCGCTGCAACGTGACCCGCGCACAAACAGCCGTAAGTTGCACATTACATAACGCTCGTCCGAATTCGTTTTCGAATGTGTTGCGAGAAGTCCGGAGCGACGCGCGATGCCGCGCGCACAACTTTCACGTCGAGAAACGCGTCGCATCGAAAAATCGGCGAGATTAGATTAACGAAGGCGGAAGATGCGACAGATTTCGCATCAAAGCACCGGGGTTCGCGCGAATTCGCGACACTCTCGCACGACGATCGTCGATGTTTCCGCGAAAATTGGCCACGACATTTCCGGGAGGGGAAAACTTTCATCGGCTAAATTTTCGCGACCGGTGCAACGATTCGCCCGCGAATTATCGTTTGTCATCGGAAAGGCGCGCGTCACTATCGCAAATTGCACGAGCCGACAGGTGGACAACGGAAATTCAACTGCACCGCGCGGAATAGACGGCGCGCGTTCGCCGGAGAGTGAGAGTAATCGTCGTCGTCTTCGCCGCCGCTCATTTGGCGGGAAAAGAAAGTTTCCCTCCTTCGCTCGTTTCGTGCTCCTATATTAGATATTAAAAAGCGCCGAAATCTTACGTCGCAGCGAGGCAACGGTGAAAGTATCATCGGTCGCAATCTTGAATTTTGCCCGTCGCCGCATTTCGACTATCGCGTCAACTGTTCGCTACTCATCCCGAAAATTTGTTGATCATCTCGGTGGAAAACTCGAGTGCATATTCGGAAATAATGTTAGTCTACGCGTATTGTTACGTATTGTTGTATTATCAATTTTTGACGTAGAGGAGAAAGTGGCATTATGGTCCTCTTAATATCTCTGCTATCACGTGGCGAATTCTAACGATTATTAATAGAATCATTTATTTAGCAGCCCGCTGTTACGCGGCGAAGCCAATATACAATTTTATATATTTGTTATAACGCATTTCTTACTTTCGAGCATTTCGAAACATTTTCAAGGTGCACATTAGCAATTACACATACTTCCTCATTCCTTTTACGACTCCTGACTATTCACGACTGTCCTTGTTTAATGACGTGAGAAGCGAGGGAACACATGCCAAGAATTTTGCCGTTACACGTTCAAATAAAAAGACGTGCCCACAAAATGACATTCGAGATCGATTCGGCACGCTTGTAAAATAATCCGAACACTTTCCTCTTACTCCATTAATAAACATGAATTATCGTAAAATAATCGTAAAATTGACATTGACACAATCACGAGGTAAGACGTTAGAAAGTAAGGGTGTGTGTCAAGTTGATTTTATATACGTTGCATATATATTATTCATGCAGACATGCCTGATTGATTAAATGAGCCACTGTTCCCTTCCCTCAATGCACCTTGATTGAGGAAATATGCATAATAATCTATAACCACGGATAATATACACATAAAAAACAATGTGACTTATTACGATTAGTTCGACTGATAAGATTTATTGTAAATGCGATCTCACGCGAACGCTTTATCTCATGTCAAGTGGGACACGGTGACAATGATGATACTGCCAGACAGACTTTGGAAAAACCATGTATTATAGAATAATAATAGATTACAATGTGTTCTCATGGTAATAATGATATAATAAACCATAATATACCTGACAATAATAATAAGATTCTAAAATAACACTGAATACTGAATACATATTATTAACAATAATGAGAGGATGGGCGGCGTCGGGATAGTTTTGGCAGAGGAAGGGGCCAAGCCGCTATCGGACTGCGATTAAAAAGGAAACTAACGTAATTTTACGATTACGCCGATAAAACCGATGGAATCCTCGTCAGCATCCGAACGTGTCGCGCTTTCGACACTTTCAAAGCGGAAACGCGAATAATCACGGTGTTACGGTATCGTTAATAAAAATTCGCGCTCAGTAATTCACGTTTTACCCGTTTAAATATAAATTTCGCATTAAACGTCGATCAACACACTAAGCACCGTGTGTATCGAAATAAAAAAGAAAAAGGAAGAAAGAAAAAATAAATTAAGCAACGTAATTAATCAAATCACGGATGGAATCGTCACTGAAAACGTCCCTCTTCCGTTGATCGTTGAGAATAGATTTTCGCATCCCGCGAAAATGACGATCGATTCGCGTCAAGTGATCAATTAATTCCAAATTCATTTTTGTTATTCTAATTATTCTACTTCAAGACAAGTCTCAAGTCACTAATTCTCAAATCAGGAATTCATTGTATCTGATAAATCCGCGAACTTGTGTTTTCTCGTCAATCCGCAGTTTCTCGTGCCCACGTGTCATTCATGATTTTCTAGAATGTAAAAATTACGCAGAAATTATGCAGGCAAAACACCACGATTCTTAAACTTGTCGCAATATAATTTCACCGTGACTACCTACCGGTTATCGATCACAACGCTTAGTATGTTAATCTCAAATAACATTCAAATTAATATTTGCAGTATTCGCAAATGAGACCGATATCACGAAAATTATAACAGACTTACGTCTACATCGTTTCCACGAATATTCTCGGCCAATCGTAACATCGCGACCGTAAAATCGTTTGCCGAAAGTAATAAAATAGAGAATTCTTCGCGTCCCCTTAATGCGGCACGTTTTATCAATAATTGCACGCGTTGTCTCTCTTTCTCTCTCTCTCTCTCTATCTCTCTCTCTCCTTATGTCTTCGTCTTTCTCTTTGCGGATTGGTCCTCTCCGTGCATTGTACATAAACAACTACTCGCGAGCTGAGATCTTAACGTTACTAACGAAGCACCTCGAATACACTGAACAAATATGACTAACATGGCTGGTCCGGAAATAAAATTCAAGGAGTGGCGGTTTCTCTCCGGCTTAAAATGGGGTTCACATGTTCACAGGTATATCTTAAAATATCGAAGCATGCGACGAGGATCACGATAAAAGTGCGGCTCGCAAAATCTCAACGGTTGGAAAGAGTCCGCGGAAAATAGTCCGAATCGCGCGCATCTCTTAAAACTATTAGGCTCGAAAAACACATGCGGAATACCCGAAGGACAGTGAAATCGCTCATAGGCGATTTCACCTGTAAAAATGCCGTTTCCAAACATCTACATACGTTCCTACGTTGACACGTATATATTTGTATAGACGACGGTCAAAGCACTCCCTTAATTTTAGTTTTCCCTTCTTTCTTCCCTTTCCCTTTTACACGTATAATAAAGACTAGCAGCGATTATTTCTTAAAAGTGACACTTAGAAGGATATATTTGCGCGTGCGCAGTGCGATTCGATCGTAATTTGTCGGAAATTAAAGACGCACGTGAAAGGAGGCGGCTCAATTTCGGGTAATCGCTTCACAAAAGGCGAGAATGACGCGCACGATTATACGACATAATAACGATTCTGTTGTCATTTACGTTATATAAAACACTTCCTTCGTCGTCCGTAAAAAAATAATATATTCAGCTCCCGCGTGGGTGATCTCGCAATTCCTAAACATTCTCTCTCTCTCTCTCTCTCGACAGGGATTCGCGCGCGTTACGAAGTATAAAAATATATATATTCAACGAAGTCGATTCCTTTTTTCACCAGCAGACCGGAGACCTAAGACAGCCAATCGTTACCTAATTACGCACGATCCGTAGCGATCGGCGCGATTCAAACCGACTCTTTCCAACCATTTCGATTTAAAAATGGCAGCTTTGTCCGCCGCTCCTACCGTGGCAGCGATCATGAAATCCGTCAGCGTACACTCGGCGTTATTGCTGTTGTTTAATTACCTCCCCCGATTCAGGCAGGTCCGGATTCAAGCTTGCTGCCTCGTCTGAATGTCCACGTGCCTCTATCGAGAGGTTCATCAATTTCATTTCTTTACTTTCGGCACATCCGACACATTTTACTACAACGCGTCCTTATTTTGTCAATATTGCGTTTAAATCTCCTTTTAATTGAGACCGGCCCGTTCAGCCCGAAGTTGCCTAAATCGGAACAACTGGTAGTCGCCACGGACGCCTTGTGTACACACGTCTACATCGGAGGCCAAATACTATTTTCACGCTTAGAAGACCGTTTCACTAGCATTAGGAATATCGGTGACTGCTTAACGCGTTTAAACATTAGAATTCTTTAAGACTGTCCTGCTCCCTTTTTCGCTCTCCTCTTTTCCCTCTTTTCTTTTTCTCTTTTTCTCTTGTTCAGCTCTCAGGGACAAGTCGCCGATGCGTGGTGCGTTTGGACGTTGCTTAATATAGTATAAATAGGAAAATAATTGTGCGCGACCCAGTCGCTCGAGACCGATCGGGAGCCAATCAGGCGATTATGCCACGTGATAATTGACCGATTAGTCCCGACCAGGCTGTATACACATGCGCGAACTCTCTTCTTAGGCTGATAAAAACTGGCAGATTATTATTCAACCAAGGGGCGCATTTTCACAGTCGCTAGTTTTATGTTTATGTGTCTGTGTGTATGTATAGTTCGTAAATCTGTACGTTTTCCCGGCTAAAACGTTAAACGGTGGATTCCTTCTCCCGCGAATCGCGTGATTTCGCATTCTGAGTATTTGATGCGTCGCAGAAGATCGCTCGATCGAACTGAAACACGGGATGGCGGAGTATCGTAGCAGGAATTGAGACGCTACCGCGAAAGACAGAAGCGGTTTCGTGTGAACGCGGCCGGCGGGTCGTGTCCTTTTTGCCTTCCTAAAAAAAAGAACAAAATAGGTAGTCACGAAATGCAAAATAACGTACAAACTCACGTTTTTTGTTTTCTTTTTTTTTTCGCTTCGTTCGTTTTGATCTCGCTGGACTTTCGGCCGTAGCGACAATGCAAGTTCACAAGGTGACGATCTCGCTGAGGCCGTACGTGAAAGGAGAAGCTTTATCACTTGTCAAGGTTTCAAAAGGAAACTTCTCCGATTGCTTTGTATAGGAAGATAAGTACGAGGTGTGATCGACTGACTGTTACATATTCTACTGTGTGAAATGCTTGTCTTTTTCATCTTTTTCTCCCTCTCCTCCTTCTTCTACTTCCTTCTCCTTGCTAACCTACGGCAACACTCGCTTCTGTGGTGGATTATTCGCGTTACTCCGTGCAACTGAGAGCCTGCCTACCAACTCTCGCTGGCGGAGCGTCGATAACGTCGCTGCGTACTTAACGCAGCCAGGCGAAAAAGAAAAACACCGACATTCGTGCACTCCGATCGCAGAACGAATTAATCTGTCTGTGAGTAATTTGGTATGTAAAAAATAGCTTGTAGGCGTTGTTATAAACAAGACGGAGGCATCGCATGCCCAACGAGAATATTGACATTGTCGCCGGTCTGTCCGATTTATCGCAACGGACTCGGCCGACGTTCTCAAACATGTAGTATATTGTGTACATCTTTTTTTCATATAAAATGTCCTAGAATAACCGCTTGCAGAGTACACTGAGGGATTCTTGAAACTAAACGACACGACTTTTCCTTTGTCAAAATTCTGTTTAAATGATAGTTTTTAAAGGAGCGTTATTAAAAATTAGAATATCAAGTTGCCTCGTGGAATTAGTATAAGTAATATTTCCTCGACTAAAAATCTTTTTAAAACGGTGGAATAACACTTTGTGAAAAAAATTATTTGTACGTCGTTTAAGTATATTGCTAAGTATATTCGCAGTCGTTCTTTCAGTGGCATCAGTAAGAAATTCTACCATATCGAATAAGTAATATCTGAATTGACCGTAATTTTACAGAAAGCTGATTTGCCACGAAAGAATTTCTTACCGATGCCACTGAAAGAACAACTACAAATGAAGTGGCAAATTTATACTATACAAATAATCTTTTATACAAAGTGTTATCCCAACGTTTAAAGATATTTCATGGCCTTGGAAAAGCCTGATGGAACATTATTTATTCCAATTATTTGCACAAATAAGTCATTCAAAAGAGCCATAAATTCGGATATTGTTATAATTACACAATAAACCTTTAATGAGATAGAAGAAAAACAGCTAGTGTGACGCACGTGATATGTCGTGGATTCGCGGATCACACACCGTTTCTGATTCGAGCGTAACTTAATTACGCTAATTCGGTGTCAATTTAAATAGCAGCCGTTTAAAAAGTATCATTCGAATTCTTGGTAAACGAGACGTTGCTTCGTTCGGTAGGCAAGAATCTCCCGATGCACGCCGCATGCGGTTATTCCGGGACACCCTGTATATGACATACAGATAATATTTATATATCATAAATATATTTATATTAATATATAAATATTTATATATCGTAAATGCAGTAGAGATTTATTCGTTCGCGCGGTGCTTTCGCCCAGTTTCGATGCTTAATCAAATCCAAAGGGAAATCTCAATTCGTTTTCGTGCGTTCGGCGCAATTAGGGACGACGGGGCGGCGTCCCGGAATCTCGTACACACTTAAAAGTATTTAATATCACTGTCCGCTCACATCCGACCTCTTTCGCCGCGAGATATATTGGAAGCAAAGTGATTATTATAGTAGACGGATCTCGAATACCGAACGTGGGCTCGCGCCCTCGAACATTCTCTCATATGATTTAGCGCTCGTCGCCCGTAGCGAGTACAGTAAAAATACCGTTCAGTTTTACAGGCAACTTACGCTGCTTAAAACGATCAGGGGTTCACAGGGGCGAATATCCGATCGAGCGGATAATAACGATTAATAAAAGCACTAAAATCGCGTTGTCGCGCACGACACGTTCATTGAAGAGCACAAAGTAGGAAGTATTAAGAATTTTCCGAAAACAATAAGTGTACATGTATCATACGAGATACGAGCATTTAAAAGTGTAATCCTCTAATTATTTTGAGCAGCGCATCATATTCCATCTCGCAATAGATATATATATATATATACATACCTATTTGAAAAATCAAAATTTAAACATGTAACAAATTTATATCGTTATACATAAGAAAAAAAAAAACACGCATTTTCCTATAAAATATACCGTAGAAAATCGTTGGATCTTGTCAATTCGTGGTTAACCCAACTAAACGAAAATCTAAAACGAAAATTCAACCGCGATAAAAGTCCAACGTATTTGAAATCCTCTCTGGAAGTAACTTCGTGGTAAAAAGTACCGAGACCTGGATGCATATTTATCGCGATAATAATAATGAAAACTATAATAATAATAATAATAATAATAATAATAATAATGATAATAATAATCGATACTTGTATCACTACTACTGAAAACAACGTCGAAGGGAAAGAATGATCTACTTTTTAAATATGGCCGTTGTGTAAAAACTGATTAATAGAGAACTGTACAAGTGAGTTCAAAATTGCACCCAGCTCCGATCGTGAACGGGTCTCCCCTGATACCTCAATCGTCGACGACGGCTGATAAATATCTCCGTTGATCTCGTAGTACTGTTACTCCAATATGACCAGCACATACGCAATGTCCGCAACAGTCTTCACAGCCTGCTGGTTAATCCTTAACGACCCACTGTTCGGTAAACTTCGTTCACCTCCAGGGTTCGGGCAATCACACCCCGTTTCTCGAGAAGCGCGTCGATCGTCGTTATCCCTCGGATAACAAACGAAACAAAATAAAAAATAAAAAAAAAACGAAGAAACTTTTAAAGCGCGTTGCGCAACCGCGGACGTTGGGTCGTCAAGGATCAATATACATCCTCCGGATACCGACTATCGAAGAATTACGACGTCGTGGCAACGATATGCCGCAACCGTAGAGTCCAATATGCGCGCGCCAGATGTCCAAGTCATCGAGGTGTGTGTGCGCGATGATGATCCAACCGTCGAGGCTTCCCAAGAGGAAGACGCGTGTTCTGTCCGTCGGTATGGACGGTCCAAGTGTCCTCGTCTCGCGAGGGTGTGCGTGTGTGTATGTGTGTGTGTGTGTGTGTGTGTGTGTTTTGATCGTCAAGAAGCATGTTCTACCACTCGAAAGTGTCCGTCCTCCACCTTCTCGTGACTTCCTTCTTATCGAATAACGTTCTATCTATTTACATCGGAGCCCTCGGGATCGCACGCCGGCACAGCGTGCCGGCTGTGGCTGACCGGGCTATCACGAGAGCACGGGACCGACCACCTCGGTCGCGTCCTTACAGTCTTGAATGGATATCTGGGCGAGCTCGCTCGCTATCTCCTCCTGCAACTCCTTCTTCAGTATCGTATATGCCTGCTGAGCCTCCTCGTTCTCGCACGTAGCTTTGGCATTGGCCTTCACCTGGCCGTTCGTCTTCTTCTTGCCGGACGTCTCCTCGCCGGAGGACGCGCCGGGATTGATCTTGAATACGCTCTTGATGATGCTGTTCATCGTCGGCTGCGAGCGCTTCGGGCTCTCCGACGCGAACGCGAACGGACTGTGCTTGTCGCCCTTGGCGATCAGAGCCCTGCCTGTCCGCACGTTGCGCCTGCCGAACTTGTTGGCCTTCGCTGGGACGCTCGACTGTTGCGCCGACTGCTGCGTTTCATTCTCTCTCGCCTCCGGCGCAGCTTTCTCTACCTTCACCGAGTTCTCCCCGCACGTAGGCGCGTTGTCGGCGGTACACGCGGGTTCGCGACTGTCGGCGTCTACCGGCTTCGTCGACGTATCCGTGGAATCCGCGTCGGGCTTGTTCGCCTCCTTCGGGTCTTCCTCCGAGTTCGCCATCGGACTGGCTTTCGGCTCGTCCGCCTTCTCCAAGGGAGCTTTGTTATTCTCCGCGTGATTGCTCGTATCATGCCGAACCTCCGTCGCAGGTACTTCCCTCTGCAGAACTTTGACGGGGCTCTTCGGCTTCGTGCCGTTTTGATCCTCCTTCGTCTGGCAATTGCCGCAGGAACCGTGGGTAGGCGAATTCACCTGTCTCTTAGTGGCGTTGTTCTTCTGAACCACTCCCATGTGCGGTCTACCCGACGTGCGCACGTTGAACGGCCCGGGCTGCTCGTACGGTGGTTGCACGTGATTCAAGTGTATCTGTGGTGGCTGCTGCATCCTGCGAATATCAACGTGCATCGCGTTGTCCATACGCGGAGGTGGTTGCTGCTGCTGTTGCTGCTGCTGCTGTTGCTGCTGATACGAGATGTACGGCTGAAAAGACGGGTTGATCGCCGGTGGGCTGTTTGCGGCCGGATTGCCGTAGCCCAGATTCGGGTTGGGGTGCACGTTGGAGTTGACGTACTGCGGCATCATTTGCCTGGGCAGTTGCTGGAACTGGTACTGCGCCGTCGGATAGGCCGGACAGCTCTGCTGCGGGATACCCGATACGATCTGACCGCCTCTGCCGCGCTCACGGTAGTTGTAACGGTCGAGGGCTATCCGCGCGTCATTGCCGTGATACTGCTGCGACACTATCGGACCGGACTGGTAGATCTGATCGTTCTGGGGAATCACCGGGCTCGGAGGCTGGTGGTAGCTCTCGAAGTGCATACCTTCGCCGCTCATCGCCCTGCTGTACGCGATGCTCGAGTGGTACTGCGGCGGCTGCGGGCTGTACTCCTGCTGCTGCTCCGGATACTGAGGGTACTGCGGCACGGAGGGTTGAGCGTCGATCCAAGTCTCCTGCTGGGGCGGGCGCTGCTCGCTGTCCCGTATGGCCAACACGGCGTTCCAGACCTCCTTCAACTCCCCCGTGATATCGCGATCCTTCAGGATCGTGTAGTGACGAGTGAAGACCACGCCCGCGTTCATCGTCTCTATGAAGTCCAGCAGGAGCTCGATGAAGCTTCTACGCTTCTGTCGGGACACACAACGGACGGCTGTAATACCGCGTGCCGGGTGTTGCGCACTGGGAAACCCATTTAGCTGACTCGAGGAAAATTCTCGTTCTCGAACTCGGGCGAAACGTTCCGGTTCGTGAGAGGCAAAATCTCGTTCCCCGAAGCAAACCATTTTCATTTTCCGTCTGAGAAAACCGAACTTCGGTTGTCACCGACCGCAACGTCTGCCCATATCGAAGCAGGAATTTCGGGTGGGTCATCCGAGCGAGTTTCCCGGTGCACTCGTCTCAAGCGTTGATGGGAAGGGATTGTTTCAATCGATGGAAGACCTTCCTTACCTTTGGATCCTGGGCGTTCTTGCCGCTCATTCGCAGAACCTCCGGATTGGCCATTACGGCGAAGACAACCGCCTCGGTCCTCGTGCGGGGTGGCGGCACTCTCATGCCTCCGTAGAGAGGTACAGGCAGCGAGGGTCTGCGAGGCATCGCGATCTTGTCCCAGGACAGTACATTCACGAAGCATGGCGCCGAGCTGCCCTGTTCACCGAGAGAATCAGCGTTTATGTAAGAAAACTCGTGTGACAAATTCTCAGAAGGTACGCCAGCAATACCGGTAACAGTGAGGACAACAGCATGGTATACCTGTATATGATCCTGTATGCACATGTGCGGCTGCGGCGGGTTCTTGAAAACTCGCGCCCCATTGCGCTTGATTCGGATCACACCGCCTTCTGTCATTTCGCCGCTGAAAATCGACCACTTTGATATCCAGAATTCTACCTGGCGACTTTCCTAACTACGGCAGTACGGCGACGAGCGACCCCTCTAGCGCGATATCTCCTCGAGTATTAGCGATACCTCCAGCACAGGGAGGAGAACGAAGTTGCGTTGCTCCCCGGGTGTCAACGGCATGCCGATGAAACCGACACGGGGCTAACATTTAGGCCTCCGACAGCGTACGAACGCCCCGAAGCCAACCGATCTATTCTCGAGGCTATTTCCAAACGAGTACGATCTATCGCACCTAGCGCAGCGGCCACTTCGGGAGATCGCCGGTCTCGAGGAGACCGCTCGAGGTGTCCCAACGCAAGATATCACGCGACGGGGACGAGCCGAGGGCCGCTTTGTGATCGATGTGGCGCGGCGAGTGCCCTTAAACGCACGGTATGACAGATGCGCCCGCGGAACCGAGCTGCCATAAACGTTGCGCGACGCTCGCTCGCGGGCCGACAAACAATTATGTAACGCGGCGGCAGGCAGGCAGGAGGACGACGATTTTCGCGAGCGTACCCGACCAATCGAGGCCGTCCGCACGGCCTTCGATAACGCAGCCTGTCAACATAACCTGAAAACCGGAGCGGAGCTCGCGCATCGGACTCCGCGTTCGTGCGCGTTCGTGCCGGTCACGTGACGCGCCGCCCGTGAGAGACGGTTCTCGAGAACGAGAGAGAGCGAGTCCCGGCGCTCTCCCGGGAACTCACCGCGTGGTGGACGGTGGAGCGATATCGCACTCGTGAGAAACACTCAAACTACCACGGACCGACGACGCGACACATTATCGGGCGGACTCGGCGGCGGGAGAGGGGAGGCATCGCTCGTTTTGTTTATTACTTTCCCGGAGGCTGCGCGGTGCGACACCGCGCGACCGACACCGTGCGCCGTCGCGGCGTCCACGCGAACCCGTTCTTCCGCCGGTATCTCTCACCGACGCGCCCGGAGCGCCGGAAGTGACGGCCGGCGAATGTTCCTAGGAACGTATCTCGCGCGCCCACCGCGCTTCGATACATCGACCAGCGACTTCAGACTGCCGCCATTAGGATCGTCGAGCGAGTCCGTCGGAATTTGTCGGTCAACGGCGAACGGGTTTTTCATTAATCCCGCGGTATCTCGGCGGCACAGCGTCGTCGTCGTCGTCGTCTCGCACGCTGGACTTGATCCGGAGACCAGTCGGAGACGGTAATTGTTGTTGGATTGACACTCGGGGAAAACTACCGTTGCCGGTTAAACCGTTACTGGTTGGATTATTGGTTAAAAAGAACGATCATGGCGGCCGAGTAGGCGCGCTTCTCGTCGGCAAAACGTTCGACGCTTTTATATTTATGGTAATGTCGTCATTTGTTTAGGCGTTCTCGGGTGCCCAAAGATGGAGATCACGGAGACGGGGAGGAGAACCAGGACGAAGCACGATCCCGCCGTTTCACGGCGTCGAAAATGTGAGTGACTCCTTTCGGAGTTTTTTTTTTCCACACTTTTGGCGGACATGTTGCGACATGTTCGATTCATCGTTGCACCCGCATATGTCGCGATCTTACTTACGGCCTGTTCATTTTAAGCTGAACTGGCCGCACCAGTTCGACGAATTTACGCGTACTGGAACGTGAGGATGCACGTTCGCTTCATACACTTCATGTTGTGTGTGTAAATTTCTTGAACTGGTGCAGTCAGTTAAAAAAAAGCAGCGTACGTAGAGATCGAGCGATTATAATGAAATAATGAATAGTATATGAAAGGAAATTAAAGAAGCGCCTATTAGAGCGCACTGATTGATCGGCCATCACTTCAATCTCGTCGTATCTCACGACGACGGCACCATTTTGTCGGCGATCTCGCGCGCGAAGATGATTATCCCTGACGCATGTTTATCCCCCCGACGAGCAGCAATTATAAATAGTTAGCGCGACGAATAATAAAAGATGCCGGCAGGGCGCGAGCGACTCCGAGGACTGAAACTTGCTGTAGAGCTTGCGAGAGCGAGCGGCTCGGAGGACTGTAGTTAGCGACTATTAATATCATCGATCGGGATCGATAGTTCTGCCCGCGAGGCGTCATAATGATATGGTGGATGGTGCGGATCTCTCTGATACCCCGCCGATACGTCACGTACACCGGTAACGATGTACAAGTGGCGCCAATAATGCTCGCAAACATCGCGCCCTGCTGTACAATCTGTTATCGTTAACTCGCGCTCGGAACGTCCGCTAATGCCCGCCGCTAATGATCCGATATTAAGAAATAAAAAGATGACAACGGGCGATACGGCGCGCATTGTTGCAAAATCTTCGCCGCGCGAGGCGCAATTTCGCCCGGCAAACGGCATTCGCTCTTTAAACGGCGAAATTCTTCCCCGACGGCCGAAAAACAAGCCCGGTACGATATTACATATATATTCGTAAGTATTCAGAATTGGATTTCTTACATTTGCTTGATTGAATGTCAACTGAATCAAATACTAACCGAATGCCGAGTATGCGCAGAGAAAAAGATTTCTTTGGATTTAATATATGTTTGTTCGGTTCGTTTGGTTTGTTTGCAGAAGATTTCTCATTTGTTCGTTACATTGTGTGAAGAAAAAAGTGCTGGAAAATTTATTTGTGGAATATAAAGTTGATCTCGCCGAAGTAAGGTTTACATTTGTGAAATAAGGCTTCTTTTCATGAAACAAATCTTATGCGCTACGAATTAATTTTTAAATTTCTCTCTTAAACTTTTCTCTCAGCACAGACATCTGAAAAATATCCACTGTTTACAGCAAATATTCTGAACAAATTTCAGGAGTAAGTTGAAATTAAACTAAACATTCTTTAAAGTTAACGATCGAAAAATTCGAGGCTAAAACGAGGTTGTAATGTTCGTTTCTATCTTACGTAGAGGAAGTCAAACCTATAAAGTGAATTTTCCAAGAATTCATCTCTCTCTCTCTCTCTCTTTTTCTCTTGTATCGAATCTTCGGTCACACAAATAACGCAATTATTTCAATTTACTATTACAACGAATTATCTTTCGCGCTATTTCCGAGTATCGGGCATTAAAAAGCCTCACGCTTATGAAGTTTGAACGGGTATCGCTCGCACGCAAGAAAGCTCTCTCTCTCTCTCTCTCTCTTTCTCAAGAACGTTTTCGATTGTCGCGATTCGCGCGAAATTGCACGTAGGATCGAAATCGCGGGTCCCCGCGTTAATGCCGCGCCGTCTCGAACGTCTCGCTCGATCCACCGATCTTACCTCTCGGTAAGGACCCTGTAATGCGAAATAATGGGTATCCACCCACTCGATGAAAATTACATGAGACCGCGGGCCCTCGACCGGCCACTCTCTCTTTCTCTCTCTCACTCTCTCCCTCTCTCTCCCTCCCTCTCGCACCACGAGCGCAGCTGAGAAGCACGTATACCGCGAAACGGCGGGAGAGAGCGGGCCGAAGGGGTGGGCGTAGGTTAATTGTTTAGTAGGTGCGAACACCATAATTAAAATTTAAGGGTATACAGATCCCGAGATACAGCGGCGCACCTTCGCATCGTTGCTGCTCGCGATACGACGCGGAGGGCCTCGCCGCAGGTGAGAGACACGTCCGCATCTGTTCTCTCGCGCGTTTGCGTACGCGTCCGTATGGGTGTCCATTAACGTTTCCGAGAAATTAACGTGATTCTAATCGATAGCCGAGAAATTAGATCTGGCAATCGCCGCGGCTCCCCTCGATAACGCGTCGCAGTAAGAACTAATGATTACGATAGCGTCAATTAGCGGTACACTTTCTCACCCTGCCGAGTCGAAATTTCGCTCCCACATTAATCCTGCGAATTCTGCAGGACTTGAAGAAATGACTGGAGAAGCTCGGGGTGCAACAATTGCAAATTATTGCGCCACTTTGTGCTGCGAATGAAATATTGCTTGATTTCCTTCATGTTGAAGCTCGAGGGGCTTACTTTAAAATCATTTAATATTCGACCGTCTCAATATTCTATTTATATTTAATATTTATTTTTTTATTCCAATACGCGAGGTATTTATTATGTAACTTATTTAACAGTAGTTGGAATATGTGAGGTAATGAGTGAATTAAATTTCAACTTTTATTCGGTAAGTACATCCAATGTTCATTCAGATCAGAAACATGCGTAACAATGATTATAATTAAATTACAATTATTATAATTATAATTAAAATATGTAGTACAAATAATTTCACACATCTAGAGATATATGATGCATCGTTGCCCGCGTCTCGACTTCCTACTGCCTTCATCCTAGCTTTCCGACCCAACATCCTGACTCCTGGCCGCTTCGTCGCTCCAGATATTCAGTCGTGGCACTGACACTTGTGCTAATCCGGAGAAACGTGTGTTAATTAACGCAGTGCCGACGAGAGTGTCCGATTAAATATTTCAAAAGTCGACGAAATATTTTTTTTCTGCCTAATTAGAGTTGTGAGTGCGACGATACACGTTGCTCGGCCGGCGACTCAAAACTTGAAGACTCGGTTTTGAAAAAATATGTACGGAATTACCAAAACGATGAGCAAAGACGAGCAACGTTATCTCTCGCGTTGATCGGCAACCCGCACCGCCCCACCATTGAATATCCTCGTGCGATCAAAACAATCAACGTTTTCGAAACATTGCTGTCCTTCAAGGGCAACGTTATCCTCGCGCGTCTCGTAAGATTTTCCGAATTTTTCCAGTGTGTCTCGAGCCGGGTGAGCGACATGTAAATGCGTCGGCAAATGTCAGCTATTATTTCCGTCGGTCGATTAAAATATTTCGTAATATTCGAACGGACTTTCCTCGATGTCGCGTTGATTAACGAACGTTTCCCTTTCGCGTTCAATGTCAGTGCTACGACCGGAGTGCCCCGGAGCAACAGAAGCCAGGATATTGGACTGGAACGTCAGGACGGAGAACGCTGAGATGCTGGCAGCGATGCATCATATATTTTCAGGTACTCAAGTCATTTATTATGCAAGTTTCTGATTTTAACGAACGTTTTAAGGAACGTATTCTCCGAAAATAAGAAAATGCCTCGAATCGAAATTTAAGCTGGCATTCATGGTACGTCATCATTCGACGAATAATTATAGCTTCATAAATCTTGTATTTGTTTATATCTGTATCTATAAGATTTATATCTATATTTATATCTATAATTTATATATTACTAGAAATATTAATCCAAATAATTAAATAATAGTTTACGCATGTAAATGTGTAATTATGTTCTCAATCAAAAATTCTTAATAATTCGCAAGTATAAATACTGGCATTTAACAAGTTGACTGCCATGATGATTTCTATGGATTTCTCCTAAGCTTAATTGAAATTCGAATAATTACAGTTACAGTAAATACGTATATTTTCTCTGATGCACGTCAGATAGTTTCCTTAACTTTCTATCGACTATGACATTGAATTCGTTCTTTCGATGCAATTAATCATGCTCTGCATATATCTTTGTGAGCCACGGCAAAATCGCATAACGCCAGATACCGGTGATCTCCATGGCAGTCAACGTGTTAATTACCTAATATTTGCTTACTTTATATCCTTGGAATTTCAATATGAGGACATCAATAGAGAACAATCATTCGTAGCACAGTAGATAAGACAATATAACTTGTATTGTGTTACTTCTCGAGCTTCTCCGTTCATTCTTCAACTTCATAATTTGCAAGATCGATGTGGAACCAAAATTTCGACTCGGGCTAAATAACCATCGAATCGACCTTTTCATACTCTCAAATAGAACAAAATCATAACGCTGGAATTAATGCTTCGCGATTTCACAATGTACAGACGTGATCAGAATTTAACTCTTGACTGCGCGTATCTCGCGTTGCGCCGTAATGTGGTCACGATAATGATAGTAGGCAAAAACACGGGTTTGAAAAGAAGGAAATCGCCAGGTGCGTTGTGCACGAGCGCACTCTCTCTCTCTCTCTCTCTGCCCCCTCTCACAGGGCCGTCTGGCCATTTAAATTAGTCGAGAGCAGGCTCCTTTCAAAAATTAATTGACGTATCGATTGGGGCGTCCCGCAGACACATTGTAACGATGTTGGTGGTGCCAGGGCTTCGGTTTACACCGCGGCATAAACAACGCTCGAATAATGACGTCGCGTTTCTGCTCGATCGGCGTGATTAGGCGCGGACTACACGAGGAGGGCTGGAATCATTATCAATTCTCGACGGAAAAAAAGAGAGAGAAAAGAAAACACACGGACTATCGTCCATTAAATCCCATTCCGCTCCATTATAAATTCTGCCGTCAATTAAAATCCACTGAATCCCTCATATTTACCGCCGTTGAATTATCTCGACTACCAATATCTCGTGGCTCCTACCGACGTCATCGACGAAAGAACGTGCGTTTTTACGATATATACACAGCAAAGGCAAAATAATTATTACTTGTGCTCGACAATAATTACCGGAGCACGACGCCGATCGC